TAATTAATTTTATGGCCTGTACTTATTAGAGTAGCTAACCCAACCGATCGGACTGTTATTATAATCGATACAAAACATCATAGTAAAAAACAAAATTGTACACTCAGGGAAAAACAGGTTGGTTTTTTTTTCTCACACGCATGCGGTAAGTCTTCTTGTGCTGGAACAAAATTCGTGCGGGAGAAGCCGCGAGTAAAATCTAGTATAATCTTATACGATTGTAGTTTATATAATTTATGTCATCCGTAAATCATTCAAATGATTCAATTCACTACATCCTTTCCCCAATATACATTTAACTGCGGAAATTAAATCCTTAGCTATATCTCATCACGTCCCCCATCCCATAAATAATCCTCAGAAACCTCGGAATTGCAATATTATACGACATTGGGATCTTGCCATTTGTCCTGCAGTTGTTTACCTCAAGCATCCCTGACCTGGTCTGTCCTACATTTTAAATTGTGGAGAAAAGAAAATACACTCGCGAGCAAAAGTATGGAATCACTTACATGAAGTTGTTTCCACGCGATCTTGTGTACTAACGAATTTGTTAGTAACAAAAAAAGTAGCACCATTTTAAAGATTAAACTTTTAACTTTAAATTGATACTAAATTCGTTTTAATCACACCGGTATTTAAAAAGATATCCCGGCTGATGTGAGAAGTAAGAAAAAAGGCATGTACCAACTGTTTGATACGTCGCGAGTTACGGCCTATTTACCCCCTATAAAAGCACGTGTTTTCAGATTTTTGCGTTCACACGTTGATCCATACACATCTCGGCTTCTTTTGACACTTTACCTGGGATTCTACACCTACAGAAGCAGCACAAATCGTTGCACTGTTGCAAGAAGGGCTCAGCCAGCGGGCTGTCGCACGTCAGCTCCACATAAGCCAGTCCTGGGTTTCGAAAGTTTTAAGACGCTTTTGGGAGACTGGTGGCTCTATCCCGAGACCAAGTTCTGAACAGCGCCGGTGCACATCGCAGAAGGATGACCGTTTTTTCATGTCAAACTATCTATGAAATCGTCATTTGACTGGCATCGACGTCCAGCAAGAGCTCAGAAATGTTCGTAGGATAGCTGTTAGCGAGTGGACAGTTCATCTAAGATATGAGCAATAAAATTTGACTCCAAAAAGGCCTGCCACAGGCTGGAAACTGACGGCAGGTCACCGACAAGCACGCTTTCAATTAGCTCGCACTCGGAAGGCGAGTAATGGAGGCGAGTTTTGTTTTCCTATGAATGCAGACTGTTTTTGTAGTGCAGCAGTCGAAGAGGTCGGGTCTATAGACGGCCTAGGGAGCGATTTGTGCAGTGCTGGTTCGCTAAAACATTGGCTTATGGGGGTGGCTTGCTCGACTTCCCATCGAGATGTGTAGGAGCAAATTGAAAGCGTGCTTATCGGTGACCTGCCGTCAGTTTCAAGCCTGTGGCAGGCCTTTTTGGAGTCAAATTCTATTGTTTATATCTTAGACGAACTGTCCACTTGCTAACAGCTATCCTACGAACATTTCTGAGCTCTTGCTGGACGTCGATACCAGTCAAATGACGATTTCGTAGAGAAGTTGACATGAAAAAACGATTTTCCCTCTGCGATGTGCACCGGCAATGTTCAGAACTTGGTCTCGGGATAAAGCCACCAGTCTCCCGAAAGCGTCTTAAAACTTTCGAAACCCAGGACTGGCTTATGTGGAGCTGACGTGCGACAGCCCTCTGGCTGAGCCCTTCTTGCAATAGTGCAACGATTTGTGCTGCTTCTAAAGGTGTAGAATCCCAGGTAAAGTGTCAAAAGAAGCGGAGATGTGTATGGATCAACGTGTGAAAGCAAAAATCCGAAAACACGTGCTTTTATGGGGGGTACATAGGCCGCAACTCGCGACGTATCAAACAGTTGATACATGTCTTTTTCCTTACTTCTTCACATTAGCCGGGATATCTTTTTAAATACTGGTGTGATTTAAATGAATTTGGTATCAATTTAAAGCTAAAGGTTTAATCTTTAAAATGGTGCTACTTTTTTGTTACTAACAAATTGGTTAGTACACAAGATCGCGTGGAAACAACTTCATGTAAGTGATTCCATACTTTTGCTCGCAAGTGTAGGTTTCGTGGTCACCACTTTGGATGAGACATTGCAAGGCTGAATGTCTGTATCTGTAAATAAGATTTCAAGATTTAAAGGGTACATTACGATAAAAGATCTAGTTGACCTTAATACAGGGTGTTAGGTAAATGGGTATATTAGCCGACACTAACCCATGTTAACATGGGCATATAAATGGTATGGTGAAGTCAGAAAATTGATATCTTCATTTTAATTATTTTAATTTTCATACAAATCGGATTTTATAAAAAATATTTTGTATAAAAATTTAAAAAAATTAAANAGTCAGAAAATTGATATCTTCATTTTAATTATTTTAATTTTCATACAAATCGGATTTTATAAAAAATATTTTGTATAAAAATTTAAAAAAATTAAATGATGATATCGAATTTCTGACTTCACCATACCATTTATATGCCCATGTTAACATGGGCTAGTGTCGGCTCATATACCCATTTACCTAACACCCTGTATATAATATTACGTAAATAAGTAGCCTACCTAGGTTTCTATACCTATTACTAAGGAACAGAATGTAGAAGAAGAAATTATTGCGGCACAACGCGGCTGTGCACAGGTTGTAAATCTTCTATACTTATAATAAATCTGTAGAGAGGTCAATTCTGTACATGAAATATATTTCCAAAATAACTATCAGGGGGTGATTAGTGATCGATACTGATGCCAAAAATGCAATCGGTAAAATTTTTGTCTGTCTGTCTGTCTGTCTGTCTGTCTGTCTGTCTGTCTGTCTGTCTGTCTGTATGTTCCTTATAGAAACAAAAATTACTCGACAGATTTTAACGAAACTTGGTACAATTATTCTTCATACTCCTGGGCAGGTTATAGGATACTTAGGAATTCCCACGGGAACGGGAATTAGCGGGAAAATCCTTTTGTATGAAAAATCTAAACCGCGTAAGATAGACGCTTGAAATTTGGCATGCAGGTACTTTAGTAAACTTGAAGCTTAGTTACAACAGGATATTGCTAAATTCCCATGGGAACGGGAGTTAACGGGAAAAAACATTTGTGTGAAAAATCTAAACCGCTTAAGTTAGACGCTTGAAATTTGGCATGCAGGTACCTTAACAAACTTAAAGCTTAATTACAACAGGATATTGCAAAATTCCCACGGGAACGGGAGTTAGCGGGAAAAAAAAACATTTGTATGAAAAAATCTAAACCGCGTAAGATAGACGCTTGAAATTTGGCATGCAGGTACTTTAATAAACTTAAAGCTTAGTTACAACAGAATATTGCTAAATTCCCACGGGAACGGGAGTTAGCGGGAAAAAACATTTGTATGAAAAATCTAAACCGCTTAAGTTACACGCTTGAAATTTGGCATGCAGGTACCTTAGTAAACTTAAAGCTTAGTTACAACAGGATATTGCAAAATTCCCACGGGAACGGGAGTTAGCGGGAAGAAACATTTGTATGAAAAAAACTGAACCGCGTAAGATAGATGAAGGGGGGGTAAAACGAGATCCACGCGTACGAAGTCGCGGGCGGCCGCTAGTATAAAAAAAATGGATACCTACCTATCTAAATAAAATGCACACGAAAATTATCACGTGTGTTAATTTGTCCACTGCAATCTTCACGGGCCTAGAGGCAGAAGTTATTGATACTAATCACCAACAACTGAATGAGTATAATATTTAATTTGATAATTTAATGTTTATTTAATTTAATTTTAAATTGACAAATAATAAAATTCTATATTTTAATGTTATTTTTAAGTTTTTGCAACGCCTTCACTGGGCGTCACATGCAAAATTATGTTCTATCAACCCTTACCCATGTGACATGCAATAAATAATTTGAATTTAAAATTGAATAATTTAATTTTAAATTGACAAATAATAAAATTCTATATTTTAATGTTATTTTCAAGTTTTTGCAACGCCTTCACTGGGCGTCACATGCAAAATTATGTTCTATCAACCCTTACCCATGTGACATGCAATAAATAATTTGAATTTAAAATTGAATTAGAGCTCTTTGGGTGAACATTATGGTGCTTAACTATGATAGCTCATAAAGTCTAGCGCATTATGGTAACCATAGAAGTGGCCCTAGATATAATGTAAAAACTTTCGCAAATCAAAGGAATTCTTGAACTGAACTCTAAAGATAGTCACACAGCCGTAACCCATTTACAATTCACATATCCTAGGCCGTACATGAAGGAATCCATGAATAAATCCATTGTACCCGACGTTACAATAGCACTTATTCTAATATTTATGGTAATGGAACGTGTTTGTAGCGCTCTGACACCTGGAGGAAAACATACTTCGCAGTGTAAATAAATGATGTCAGATAGGTCATATTTCGCAATGAAAAATGCACGCGAAAATCTAGATGCTTGTACCTTATGGATCATTTCATCATAATTCATTATAAACGGAATCTGATGTCTCTTCTCAAACGAAATCTGATGAAAGGTTATGACAGTTGTTGATTTAATTTTGAAAAAACCTCAAAGACTTTATTTTACACTATCTAGGTATGTAATTGTGCAAGAAATATCCTGCGTACCACATCTTACTTTTGTATAAAACTTTATTTCCCTTTCTTTACTGAATTACAGATACTTCGACATAATTATTATTTACTTCGAATCTCTATATTTATGAACGAACAAAGCAAGCATTTAAGAATTTTTCAAAATACCTACTTATTGGACGTTATTTTAACTCAGAGTGAGTTTATTATGTATTTTTTTGTAATACATAAGTCATCTTTCTCTAACTGCTTTCAATTTACAGTCAATTTGCAAGTTTCACCTATAATTAAAACACCCCCGGGCAAAGTTAGACTGTCTGAAAATTCTTAACGTCAAAACTGTCCATTGTATCCGATTATGTCGAATTCCAGAATCTGGTTCAAATTTCGAAGCTCGTACGTGGCCAGTTCTTCTACGGACTCGGTGCGCGCGCAAGCATTTGACAAGCCCGCGTATTCTCAGGAACTTTCGAAATTCAAATTTTCAAAATGGTGTGTTTAATTTTTTTTCTATGGCTTTCGTGGCCAGTGTTAAGATATATGTTTTAGAAAATTTTAATGTCAATGATTGTTTTTTGTTTTTGTGTATATTTTAGAAGAAACATAATTCAGTGTGCTTTCGTTTGTTTTATTACAGCAAACCAATCAAATAGATGACGAACAAATCACAAGTAAGTTTTTCTATTACTCGTATTATCTAACAGTGAAAACTATTTAGTAAACCAAAAAGTATATCTAATACGTAGGTATTTTCTTGGTCAAATATTGTTGGTGCTCTATCACCGAAATAATAAGTAAGGCAATTTTTATTTCGTACTTAGGAGTAATGCCGAAAATGGATGGTTATTACTGAACACAAGGCACTTATGGCCACAATAAGCTGACCCTAGATTATTTATGTTCTAGAACGTAGTAGAAATAAACAAAAAAGACAAAGTAAGCTCTGGTTATTTATTGTACCAAAGTATTGCGTTAAAGACTTGTTACTATACAGAATAATAGTCGAAGTTTATGAAATTATTTGATTTATTACTTATGTACAGTAATGTACACTAAACGTAAGGCCGTAAGATAGAAAAAATGGTACATAATTAAAATATTTTTGTTTACTGTTTAGTACACAAAAAAGTGACTTTGGAAACTAACTTCTGTTAACTAAAACCAAACCAAGTTTAGCTCACTACAAAATTAGTAGTTAGTGTGTAACCTCCAGTTCGTTACTCACTTTTTTTGTGTGTATATGTTACAGGAAATGTATGAAATCCGTCATTGTATACAATTCCTAGGATTTGTGTATAAGTCCTAAAATCACCCGGAAATGTGTAATGTAAATTACATTAGACGCATTTCCTAGGAAATTTACACATTTCCTAAACAGCAATCGGAAATGTAATTAAGATTTTTTTTTCTCCGAAACTTAAATGGCGCTACCGCGCCGCGGGCGGGCCGCTGTGTATGTGTAAGGTCGCAAGTCTAACCTAACCTAACCGAGACTTTGTTATCCAGCTACAGGAGTACTAAAACCTTCATGCCAATAATAGTTTAATAAAAGAGATGTTAAAATTAGGGTTTTCCAATACTTCAGCGTAATATGCGTGATGCCGAAAGAAAGGTATGCCAATAGGCAAATATTTTTTCAGCCAAAGTATAATAGTGTGAAAACAACTTTCAGGCTAAACAATAATAGTTTTGAGTTAAAAGTACCTATCGGCCAATGTGGTTTGGCTAAATGAAATTTTAGGCGTACTGAGGGGCACCCGATCACACGACCGCGCTTGTGTCGCTTAGTTTTATACATTTCCTAATACAATATTGGAATTCTATAAAATTCCTAGGAAAAGTATACATGTCCTAGGATATGTGCGTATTAAAAAATCTCTGAAGCAATATTTTATACATTTCCTAAATAGCTTCGGAATTGTATACATTTCCTAGGAATAGTATACAATTCCTAGAATTCATACATTTCCTGTAACATATGCATTTACGAAAAAAATGTTTCAGTACATTAAAATGTGTTTCATTCTATAGATAACCATTTTCATTCGTTTCAGTCAAGTTATTAAATGCATAAAGATATTTTGATGAAATTGCAAGAAGATGCTTATTTGTAATTTATATAAAAACAACAGCAAAATAAAAGTTTTCATGGAAATGGGTTGCCGAAAACGGTGCCAAATTGAAAAATTAAAATATGTAAGTGAAATGAAAACGGTAGCAGACCGCACGGCGCCGCCGCGTCATTATCAATTTACATGAAATATAGGGGACATGTTGTGCAGTTACGTTTTAAAAACTAGCGATACTTATGAAAAGAAAATTAAAGAACCAGGGGTTTAAAAAACTGTTTGGTAACAGTTCACAAACAGTAATATAAAAAGAAAAGAATTGTTAAAAAGTCGGTATTTCACTCGTGAAAAAAGCAGCAGTTGAGTTTTGAAACTAATGGTTTTCAGACATTGTAGTACGTATTAGGTAAGCATTTTATTCCTCCTAACTTAAAAAATAAAAATGTAGCTAACTTTACTGAAACAGTATAAAAAAACATTGTCTTTTGAAACAAGTTTCAAGACTAAGTAATTTTATTGCGATATTTTTATTCATCATCTGATATAATATCTCGTAGTAATTGTCCACATACAAGTGTCATTTACTAAGCCTAAGTATTAATTTAGGCTTTATTTCATAACACAAAAACACGTCAATTAAAATCAAATTTGTTCTTTACGACACGAAGATGACTAAGTACGAGTATAAAACCTAAGTGAAATTAAATTTCAGCCTTCGGAATATCAGCACAAAGTTTTTATTACCATATTGTAACCGTTGTCTTCCACATGAACTTAGGAACATGAATAAATTGGGAAAATGTAGGCTTCAGGCAGAAAGCTCATAAAAAGCTCGACTTTGAGATAGGCTCAAGCTGTCGTGACTTCCAAACAACATTTGGGATATACATTATAATGAAGACTTTTTGATACTTAATCTAAACGACAGAGGCGCTAAAGAGAGACAATTACTATAAGAAGTGTGAACTTCCAAAATATATTTTTATGGTATGGTACACGTGTCTTTAATTTTCTCATAAACTTAAGGTGCCTCAGTGTTGATTGGTAGCTTGATGATGCTATAGAAGGCAAATGGTATTATAATCATTTGTTCACAATACCAAAAGGGATAGTTAAGCAACAACAGTATCTCTATTAATCCAAACATTGTAGTATTATACAATAGTTTTATATTTTGCAAAAAGATGTCTTGGTAGATTCTTAAATACAAACAAAAACCTAGTCTTGAAACTTAAAACCATTCGTCATAAAAATATCAATTATCATTTTGTATTTTGAATCACATTGTTACTTCAACTGCAAACGTAAGCCTTCAAACTGGGGATGAATGAAAACGCGTTTTCAGGAGCTGAACACGATTGAGTGATTTAATTCTTCCAACGTTTTGCGATGCGATTCAATTGAATTATACGGCTATTAATATAAGCTGCCGTAAAATATTTGTATTATTTTGGTAAAGATATTTATAAAGTATTTGAGGGTTGCGTAAGTTTGAAAAACTGCATTGAAAATATATCCATAATAAACAATTATTATCCATCATCTACAATTCAATAAAAGATAAATACTTCTAGATAATCTAGGCATTGTTTCAATAGATATCTTTACTTTGAAACTACTTGTTAAATGATTCCTACAGGAATATTGACAGTACAAGAACCTTCATTCCAGTTCGCATTCTTTTATTAATATTATAAACGCCCTTTTCAGGCCACTTACGTCCCTGATATACCTGACCGGGCGAACTTCATACCGTTGGTAGTGAAATAATTTTTCAAAGCAGTTCAGTAGTTTTGGAAAATATTCAGTACAAACTAAGAAACAATAAAATCTTTCCTCTAAATATTAGTGTACCCACGTAACATGCGACATTTCTTTCTACTTTCTGTTAGTTTTATTAAACTAATGGTAGAGTATGAAAAACAATGTTCCACACGCTGCAGCTAAAATGATTAAATTTCAAAATGTAAATGCAGGTAAGTGGTTTAATCCACTCCAACGAATTGTGATGCAATTCGAATGAATTATACGGCCATTAGCGCGAGCCGTGAATAATCGCGCGCTGCGCTTATGCGAGGATTGCACTGAAACGTTTATTATTTCGGTCCACCCACAGAATTTAATAAGCAAATGCATTTTAGATTTCCGTACAATTAGTACGGAATCATAATCATCAGTCATAATCAATGAAAAAACGAAACTTACATAAAAACTATTAGCGCGAGCCGTAAATAATCGCGCGCTGCGCTTATGCGAGGATTGCACTGAAACGTTTATTATTTTGTTCCACCCACGGATTTTAATAAGCAAATGCATTTTAGGGTTCCGTACCTACTGATTATGTAAAAACGAAACTTCTATTAAAACTATTAGCGCGAGCCGTAAATAATCGCCCGCTGCGCTTATGCGAGAATTGCACTGAAACGTTTATTATTTCGGTCCACCCACGGAATTTAATAAGCAAATGCATTTTAGGGTTCCGTACAATTAGTACGGAATCATAATCATCAGTCATAATCAATGTAAAAACGAAACTTCTATTAAAACTATTAGCGCGAGCCGTAAATAATCGCCCGCTGCGCTTATGCGAGAATTGCACTGAAACGTTTATTATTTCGGTCCACCCACGGAATTTAATAAGCAAATGCATTTTAGGGTTCCGTACAATTAGTACGGAATCATAATCATCAGTCATAATCAATGAAAAAACGAAACTTCTATTAAAACTATTATCGCGAGCCGTAAATAATGGCGCGCTGCGCTTATGCGAGGATTGCACTGAAACGTTTATTATTTCGGTCTACCCACGAAATTTAATAAGCAAATGCATTTTAGGGTTCCGTACTGATTATTAAGAGCAAAACTTCTATTAAAATCTAATCATATTAATATTTTAGCATTTAAAACTTCTCATCTCATTTTTTTTTTTCAAACTTGAAAAAATCGACGTTACTTTTGCCGGGTGATATAACTTGAAATGCAAGCTTGTAGCTTAGCGTTTAAAGCAGTCAACCGGCAACCGATATTTCGTTCGTTGGTTCGATTCCCACCTGAGGCAGTTGATTATTTCAAGTTTTCAATAACATAATGGAAATTGTATGAAAAAATATATCTATATTTTAGTATTAAGTAAGAATAGATACTAAAATTCTTCAGCAAGAGGTTCTAGTACGTAGCAATTAAACACAAAATTCCACGAATCGAGGCCGCGTGACTTTGAACATTTACACAAAGTATAGTATTCTAAAACCACCCGCACTTCGGAAAGTTAGAAGAGCTTTACTCGTAATTCAGTCCAGTGAGAACTGGCGCAATCCAGTGCGATCCAGTTTAAATTGTTTCGGCTTACGAACGCCAACTTTTCTGTTTGGACTGACAAACGGATTGACTGCGAGTTTTGAATGAGAGGAAAACAAAATGTAGCTTTGAAAGGGTATAAATGATAACATGTTATAGGTTTGAAATATAAAGCAAGAATGGAATACTGATATACATTTTGCTCTATATATTTATGATTATTTTATTCTAACTACCTACTAGCTTGTTTCATCCTCATTAATTAGATTCGATTTCCATGAAACGACACCTACTGTTAATATGTGAATACACCTGTATTCGCATTTTAACAGTAGGTGTTAAAAATGAAGTGCCTGTTATCTAAAAGGCACGTCATTTTTTAATATATCCCGTTTCTCTTAGAGGAGCAACGTAGTACTTTAACCGAAGGGCTAAAAAATATATCGGTAGTTAATTTTTTACTTTTAGATGAATATAAATTATAATCCTTACTATAACAGAATCGTTCTCATCATTTTTATTTTTAAAGAAAGGATCATATCGGTAGCTATTACTTTAATCATATTTTGTATCTTTAAATGAAACGTTAACTCTGCCTCTGTCTCTACCGAGGACATTTATTATCAGCTGCGTGGTTGTCACAACCGTTTCCGTTTCCGGTGTTAGTACTCAGCCTTACAGCGGTTTCCTGTAGCTAGATAAACAATAATATACGGTCTATAGTAAACCCTAGCCTTTGTTGAAGCTTGTAAATGAAGATGGAGTCCTCATTTCCCTTTTGTTAGTATCTTATTTTGTATAAAAATATTTTACAAAGAAACCATTGAATTTAACTTGGTGTAATAGATATGAAATTGTCTGGCTTTTGTCTGCCTGAGACTATGTCTATGTAACAAGCTATATCTTTATTAAATTGATGGATCAAAGCCTAGCTTGAAGCAGTTAAGTACTCAAACCATTTCTCCATTTCACTTATATTGTATTATAAAATAATACCATTTTATAAAAACTAAATGCTTAATGTAACTACTGACATTTACTCTTCCACAAATCAAAAGAAACTAGCCCATTCAGAGCCTAGAAACTTTCTTTGTTACATGACTAAAATGGCGGCTGAAGTCAGTCTCCAATAATGGAAAATCTGTTCAAATTAAACATTTCCAGAGAAAAATAGAAAAAAAGCCTACTTTTGATCGCACATCTGTATTTTGAGGCGGGTCGTGCTGACGCTTCGAAAGCGTTGGACCAACAGAACCGACGGTTTTTGTCAGGATTTTAGCCCTCGTATGTTTTTTTAGTTAACACATGGGCCGAGCCTGCTCGTATTACTCACATTGATAAGAATTTAGATGCAAACGGTACTTTTTTGCCACGATTGATCATAACCATTTTACTTCTTTGGAAATCCGTCTTATGAAAATATTACTTATCAGATTTGACAAAATGGCCGAACTTACAAAAGATTGGTTTGTTAGAACCAGAATTTGTGGTAGCTAAAATTATTATTGACCCAAAGAAATAAAGAGGTAGAGCAAACTAATTTTGATAGGAAATAGGAAACTTATGCCCGTTTTTACCATCAATCTTTAATTTTTAAGTTACACCTATGAAAACAAAATGCCTGTTATGTGTTACCATAGGGGTCACTTAAAAATTAGGGATTGATGGTGAAAACGGGCATTAGTTTAATAAAAGAAAATTTGTACCTCTTGTTTTTCCCACTAAAAGCTGTATCAACTTCTTGGTATACTCAATGAATAAACTAAAATAAAATGTATCCTTTTTCTGTTCTCAGCTAAAGCTCTATAAAATAAATATTTTTCTGTTCTCGGCTATAAAATAAAATAAAATAAATACAAAGTTGATAAAAAGAAGGAAATCAAAGCCTAGTTACAACCAATTCTTTTTTAACAGTGCTGCGGCGAGCCTTCAGCATGTTCGACTCGAGCAAGCAGGGCCGCATCGAGAAGGAGAAAGTGCGCACTATCCTCAACACCATGGTGCACAGCTTCGACGACCGCGAGCTGGACCAGATCCTGGACAGCGAGGATGTTGACGGTAAGTATCTGACTCAGTACAGAATAATAATAATAATAAATAAATATCCTTGGACATTTTTTACACTGCGCTTCTAGTCCCAAACTAAGCAAAGCTTGTACTATGGGTACTAGACAACGGATATAAACATACTTAAATACTTTTTTTTTGTAAATACATACATATTATACATAGAAAACACCCAGTCCAATACAAACAAATATGTTTATGCACACAAATGTTTGTACTGTGCGGGAATCAAACCCGCAACCTCAGGAATAGTAGTCCGTCTCGAACCACTACACCAAACGGCCGACAGTGTGACAAACCAAACGGTGCACAGCTTCGACGACCGCGAGCTGGACCAGAATATCCTGGACAGCGAGGACGTTGATGGTAAGCTTCTGTATAGCAAAAGATCCTTTCAATAGTTGACCCTTGGGACAGAAAAAATATCTAGTGGCAACCACGCCATAACGTAACTAAGGTGTAACTACACCTTCCACTCAGTGGATCAACGATTTGGTGAGAATCACGGGAAATGGCTGAATGTGTGCTGCGCAACACAGGAGTTATTTGAGACATTGGTCAGTATTGATTAGTGTCATATAACTCATCTTATAGTCTATAAGGATACCATACCATATTATACAAAATATTGAATTGTCTTGACTACTACTGAGAATTGAATCATCACGTGCTCTCAGTGAGACTGATAGTCATAGTGTGAATATACCTAATAGTTGATGTGAATTTTTAATGTCCGCACTTTTGAGTGGACACACCCTGTATCACTTGCAACAATAAACAGGCAACAACACTTACCGCGCCGCAGTAAATATGTCGTCACCATCTTCAAAGAGCATCAACCGAATCCCCACAGTCGCAGTGTCCGGTCATAAAACTGGCCACGAACAAAATTACAAAAATAAACTGCTCTTAATCTGTGTGGCGTCCTCTTTGCGGAAACTTTACGAGCGTGTCGCGACGCTTAAATTTTAGTATACAGGGTGTGTTGGTTTGTCTAGATTACTAACTCTTTGATAATGGAGCTAGGGAGTGGAATTAGATGTCTGCTAATATCTGTCCCGAAAAAAGACAGAGACTTTCATTGAGTTATAATGTACTACGTATTCTTCAATGGAGACTTTTGACTTCTGGCATGATTGTTATTGTCAAATAATTTATGGAAAAATATTGCTCATACAACATAATTTCTGCCTAAGTCACTTATGTAACTAACAAATAACTTACATAAATATATGAGATACTCGAAGTTATTTAATGTAATTTTATCTTTGTGAATATAACCTTCTTTGTACACAGAAAAATTCCCTTACAATCAATCTTTAAGAAATCTTTTAAAAGTTTAGATCTAACTTAAGCACAAAATTTTCTTTTCGCACCATCCTTAATCAAACAAAATTGACTACATAGTACACAACAGAACATCGTAACCAATTTATCTCCTTTAAAACTTGACGCAATATCAGATACTACAAGTGACAACTTTGACGTGTACTCAGCGTCGTGCCGTCAGCCCGTCATTCTGACGTTAATTGAGGAATGCTTTGGCTTGTCTCAAATTAGCGTGAATTTCAATATGCGCGGAATTGACGCCGTAAGGTAGACGTATTTAGTTCGAACGAACAGTATCGATAAAGCAGTATGTCAAGTTGACCTACTTTAGGGTATTTCTGTTTCAATTCGAAGCGTTGATTGACATCCCGCTGTTAATATTAAGGCCCATATACCTACACTAGTTAATGAAAAAATACACAAAATTGTATAATTACGTGATGCTGCAATGAGGGTTTTCGCGAATGAAAGATCCGCTAGATGGCGGGACGTGGATGTGGGGTCTGGCTGCTGCGTGATTGGTGGATTTTGACATATCTGTCAATGTCATGTCAAAAATAACCAATCATGCAGCATTTGGATTCCGTGGAGGGTAGTTGAACAGGAAGCATGGTCGATCTGTTTTAATGGTTTCAATTTATTATTTAATGGACTTTAGTGTACAAATTTGGTGTTATTTTGTGTTCTAAAGTGCAGTGAAGTGATAAATTATAAAAAACATTGAAATACTTCGAATTTGAGCGCGCATCGAGTGTCGAGTGGATTGTCGTATGAACAACCCGCTTTGGACCCGGTGGCGTCTCGAAACCTGCTTACGGGCATATTTAACTCCACGGAATCCATGAAAAATCAATAGAACTGAAACACCCACGTTCTATTGATAACTATGTCAATATTTTTCACTAGACATTGGCAGAAATAAACCTCCCAGAGAGGTTTGGTTGCCACAAATATAAAAAAAAAAATGCAGCATTTGGACCTCGCGTCTACGTATTGCCATCTGGCGAATTTTTCAATCGCTAAAACCCTCACTTATGAGACTCGCATGTTACAATTTTTTTAATGGAAAGCAAGTGCATTGGATCATTTGCGCTTTGAAATTCAACGTTGTTGAAAAGCGACACATTTCGTAACAAAATCACGCTCTATTATCTAAAGCTGTAACTATAAATCAACTCCATTCAAGGGCCATCAACAACCGATAGAACCGAAATGGAATACTATGTGATTATTGTCATAAGTTAATGACCGATAAGCATAGCAGTTATAAAAAATAAGTCATCGTAATCTCAGTCATATAGTAAAGTAGTCTTTATTATATTTAGATAATGCTTATGTCATGTTATCTAAATGGCAAACTTTCGATTTCAAACATGATTTTAAGTCCACGTTTGCACGAACTTGTGTTACTGCTTTAGTTACTGTACTGTGACGGAAACGGGACATGTCTGCGAAGTGTCTTTAGTACATTAATTAGGGAGTGCATTAGATTGTCGTAAATCTTACTCCAAATTATACAAAGTACTTATACGAGAGGAATGTGTTATATTTGGGGTCGTGCGACGGGAAATGGGTTAGAGGGATAATTTAATCAGTAATCACGGTCGAAGAGTAAGGGCTCGTTCCCACGGCTATTCCGTTTTACGGGATCCAGTAATGCGTAAAATGTTTTTTTGAGAACAAGCCCTAATATTTTCTTTCTTTCTAAGAGGTATACATATGTTTTCAATTGCTCTATAAAAGTGTTAGTTTAAGATTTAAAACTTTCGCGTTCCATTTCAACTAAAATAGTGAAACACGAAAAGTGCTAGTTGGTCAACAAAAGATCAAGTTATTTGACATTTCTTTTTGGTTTTGTCGAAAACCACACTGGTTTTTGGTAGCCAGGTATATTTCCCTTCTTTATATGACAGTTAGGTACCTGGATGAAATGTAAAACAGGCCCTAAAAAAGATACTGAGCTTTAAGTTTCCATATAATTACCTGTCTTCAAATCCAGGAGATTTTCTTAATTTGAATACAACGTTATTAACTACTTATGTTTTTAGTTTAAGCACGTTATTACATCTTGATTGCTAAGCAATCTCTCCAGTAGACCGCTGATGACAAAATAAAAAGACAATTAAAGCGATATGACAAGAGTGCCATCTCAACTGACACCAACAGCAATTAAGAAAGTAATTAGAGACGCTCGCAGATGTTCTGGCTTTGAATTCGGGTGAGTCCTCAGTTCGATCGGATAAATAAGTAAAAGCAAAATACTCAACTCAAAATTGCTAACAGTAATTATACATATTTATTAAACAGTGATCATAAAGTCAACATTAATCACTCTCTTAATTAACAAACTTAGAGTTAAATTGTAAAAATACAGTTTTTTCGATGAAAAAAGACCGGCAGATTTGTGTCTATTTACTTTTCGTTGTATTATTTTAGAGTACTTACTCCTACTCTACTACTAAAACTGTTAAGAAGGATTGCAATTTCATGTTTTCATTGCTATTTTTATCGCCCTCGATTATTTTGAGTCAGAAAATAAACAGCTTGAACCTGCTATCAACTTTATGAAAGGAAACTAAACTTGACAATTCCCGCTGCATCTCCCAACCCACCCGACTTCAAAAGCTGCCTCAGCCCCGACAAATGCCGGCCTCAGTGTCCAACTTCCACAATGCAGTCTGTCCTGACATCGACGACTTTGTTTGCGGAATATTACCGACAGTTCTGCACAATGTAAGTGAATGCTAGATTTTTAACAATGGTAGGTACCTATCAATTATTCAGTCATATTATGCTGAACAAATGTGCCATGAAACCATTGTTAAAGATGTTAGAAGATGATGGTAAATAAGGTCAAGACATCATTTAACAGTTTTTAATCTTTTCTAATAAAAAAAGTGATTATTTTGTATTTAAGGACACGTAAAAAATTTATAGCCATCAAAATGTAAATAAATCAATATTGATAGAGGTATGATTACAAAATACTCGTAGAAGGATTTGAATTTTCGAGCAAAACTTACATATAAACTAATCTTGCTTTCATTAGGTAGGTACCTACTTTACTTTTCCGTTATTGTAGGTAACTGTAACAGAGTTTTTATCTGAACATCTTGTATAGGTCTTCTGAGTAGTCTTCGCTGCTATCATATGTTTCGAATCGACCAGTCGACATTCACGTGACTTAAAAAAGCTAAATGAAAAATATACCTTGTCCTTTATCCTTAAAACCACAAACTGCTCCAAACAATTAGTACAAAACTACACCTCTAAAACTTCAAAGTTTCGTGTAGAGTCGACATCATCGTACATCCCAGAGGTATTGTCACAATTTGCATACAAACGGCGCCGCGTGTAACTGGAGTTAATACGTCTTAAGGAATGATCTAAAGTTAAGATTAAACTTGGGTACCATTAACGAGGGCCAGTGGTGAGCGTTAGAGGGTCACGGGATCGGTTCTTGAATATATCACCTGGTGTTTTAGTAGTGATCCACGACTAAAACACTTATGAGTATGGTAGTGGTTGTAGCTTGATAAGTTCGTGAAATTCGACCACAACTACACAAACGTAAATAATAAAATTCAAACTTTTGGAAATATTGTACCTATTTAACCTTATTGTGTCATTATTTGTTTAAAAATTATCAAATCTTACAATGA